ACTGGGAAACGTGGGATGTCACATTTCCTAGTTTAATTTTATTTAAACATAAATTTTGATAAAAATGTCCATTTACATAATTTACTATATTTCTGTTATGTAAAAAGTATATTTTTATTTACTTTTATAAGCGGTGTTCTACCTACTTACAGGGAAAAGATGAGAAAATAGGGTAAAGAAAAGCATTACAATTTTTTATTCAGAGTTTTATTGAATAATTGTGATCAGCGGCCATAGGAACATCACTGTGTGAAGAGTGGATGGAAACTGAATCAGATTCTGTTTCAGTATCACTAGCCGTAGATATAATTATTCGGTCCATCTCTTCATCCATAAGGCCGTCATTTTTTAAATATCCCTGCTCTAAATGTTCGACATGCGTGTACTGAGCTGTCCAATCTTCCTTCGTAATAGACTCAAATGCCTCTACAGTTAATTTTACAATTTCTTTTGGATCTTGTGCCACATTCTTATCCGCCACCTTTCTTTTTACAAGGCTCCAGATTTTCTCCACCGGGTTGAGGTCGCAATGGTAAGGCGGCAACCTTAATACTTCGTGTCCGTGAGCTGTTAATAATTCATCCACTGCAAATGTCGGTGGACCTTTATTTTGTTTGATTAGCTCAAACAGCACAGCTTTTCTCCAGGTGTCTTCAAAATATATACCCTTTTGCCGGAGCCATTCCTGCATATTACTTTTTATATTAGACATTGAAGGGGCTTTGTTTAATTGAGTGCAATGGTAAGGAGCGTTGTCCATTACCACAAGCGACCTTTCAGGTAGATTAGGTATTAATTTTTCCGTCACCCATTTTAAGAAATTTGCAGAGTTCATGTCATCGTGGTAATCTAAGGACTTTGATTGGGATTTAAACATTAATTATGCACCATTTATGAATCCATCTTTTGTTCCCGCATGAGCGATTATCCAGCGACTCCCTGATGACTCTGACACGAACATTCCTGGCTCCTCCTCACTCTGCCAACAACTTTTTGTATGATAAGTATTGTGTATATAGGTCTCATCTAAGTATACAACGGGTCGTTTTTCCACAGTACGATTTATTCGTATTTTACCCAAATATCTTGCACGCCATGCGGTAATGTCGTGATGTTCCATAAGTAGTTTGCGTCTGGATTGACATCGCTTGTACTTGAAACCAATCCTATTTAATATCCTGTGCAATGTTGTGATGCTTCCCTGAAAATTGATGTCTTCTCTAAGAGCTGCTCGTAATTTAGCCAAAGTTGGTAATTCTTTATGCACAACGTAAAAACTGTGAATTTTTTGCCGGATAGCGCACAAATCGAACCCATCTAAGTCGAACTTTTTCGGATGCGGGCGACTCTTCCCCGGGGTGATAATTTTTTTCGAAGTACTCGCCGCTGTTATACCTTCTTTTGTAATTCTTGTTATAGTTTTCTCTGATACACCTGCAATTAAAGAATGAACAATTAAAAATAATAGTCACTTTAAGTTTATAATGCTTATGTACTATGTAATATACGTTTTAATTTCGGTTACCTAATTTCATCACGTTATGTATTTGTTCAATTTTGTCGCAAAACGAATTTATATCATAAAAGTACCATCAATACAGCAAAAAATTATTATATGGCAAGTACCTGTTATGGCGGCGACTCTCTTCCGAACATTGTTCAGTGGTATTAAAACACCTTGATTCTTTTGTTCAGCTTCACAGAATTCTTTCACCTTCAATATCATTTCTCGAGCCGAACTTTTTACAACTTTTGGCATTGTAAACTATCTTTAAAATGCACTAAGCTAGTTTAAAACTCACAAAAATCTACCACAACAAACGAACTTGATAACATCGACGAACGACAACATGGCCGACCTGTCAAATTTAGTTCCAAAAATCACCGCGGGACTTCTTTCATGAAAAGGACTTTAGTACCAAATGTTTAATTTAATTAAGTTTAAATTATAAACTTTAGCTGGCAACATAGCTTTGAGGTTATAATATCGCTAATAATTATAAAAATATCATTATAATTATCGCTTTCATTAATACTTTCATGTAAATCGTGATTCAGAAAGTTATTTAGATAATAATAACTTTCTGAATCACGATTTACATGAAAGTATTAATGAAATATTTATGAAATAAATTTACTTACGCGTGAAATGTTATGCCTTCAATTTTTCGTTTACTGTGGCTTTTACAGCACACTGCACGATACCATGATATGGTATAAAATCAAATAATTTTCCAACTTAAAACGTTCAATTATCAAGTTTTATTTGCAAAAAATTTTTTCAAGATAATAAACATTGAAACACCGTGACAGTTGCAGTGTCTGCTACTAAGTTTAATGCCAAACGGCTTGTTAGGTCGTGGGAACAAGGACAATAATATAGTAGCTATATCTCTTTCTTACAAGTGCTAATATGATATATGCATCCTTTGTTAAGTTAATGAAAATTTATCCCGCTGTCTATTAGATTCTGTCTACTAGTGTTTTTGACATTAAGGCTTAAAAGACAAGAATCCAAGTCAAAAATTTTATTAAAAAATTACTTCTACATGATGAAAAGGATTCCAGCAAAGAGTATAGTAATATATAAGGAAGGCTACCAGCTTAGTGCTTTAACAACTAAATCTAATAATTTAAGTCGCCTATAATGGCATTTAGTGGCTAGTAGATTTTAGAGGACTTTTATAAATACACTACTTAACTGAATTATACGGAGCAGGACTCCAGTAAATATAAAAACTGTAAGAGAATATAATTAATTACTTGCGATTGTTGTCACTCGCTGAAACTCCAGCTTCTTTTTTGTTAAAAATAAATATTGTCAAAACTAATACAAGTGTTAATCCCAATCACAAAAAACTAAAAGAGTATGCCAAAGTTATGAATAATAAAATAAGGCTATGAATGAATAATAAAGGAAAGAAATCTTTGTTTGATTTTATCAACATATATGTGACTAGGTGACTTTTTTACAGTGAAGATAAAAATAGGGTGTGTTTACAGCAAAGATGCATATTTGATGCAATAATATAAAATATAGGCACTACACCTTTTCATCTACCTATTAGGTAATATACTTATAAATCCAAAAAACCGTCGGGGCTGCCATTGCCTTCTTTGTTCCCTATTTCAATTTAGAAGAAAAGCTAAGAAATGCAGCAATTTATATCAATTAAAGACTACATTTATTTACGTACTCGCCGTCATTTCAGTTAGTCACAAACTCATAAAAATATACCATTTTAGTTCATTTCAGGGCAGGGAATCCCGCGGTCTGTACGCTTAGATCTTTTAAACTGCGTAACAAATTTTGATAGGGTGTTTATCAATAGACAGAATGATTTAAGAGAAAGGTACAAATATATATGATATATATATATATATATATATATATATAGTTCTTCTGTTCGTGTATTTATGTAACTGAACTCCACCTAAACGGCTGGATCGTTTAGATTCACAATAGACCAGGTAGGTGGCGCTGTTGACGAAATCTAGAAATCACCCGTGCGAAGCCGGGGCAGATCGCTAGTGTGTTATAAGAAATCGATAACCGCATCTAAATTGGTGGAGCCGTCTCGAGGAAAAAATTCGCTAAAATTCATTTTAACGAGTGTATTTTTTTATTTCAGCGCCCCCTGGTGAGCTAACACCATAACACCTATCTAAAAACCATCACCAATGAGTCACAAACTCTTCACAGAAAACTGCATTGAAATCGGTCAAACCGTTTTCTAGATAAATGAGAACAATCGTTTCCACACAAAATGTTCTTTGCAGCGCCCCCTGGTGAGATAACACCATAAAACCTACCTAAAAACCATCGCCAATGAGCCGCAAACCCTTTACAGGAAACCGTATTGAAACCGTATTGAATCTGCGCCCCCGCAGAACGGTGTACGGGGTAAAGGGGAGTAATCCAATGACCAATGACGAACGCACACTGGTTAAAAGATATATCTCACAGTGTGAAAGCCAATCGCGGGATATAATTTATATTCCGGGATATAATATATATTATATCCCATAGTGAAAAGCCAGCCTTACATTTACCTTAAAACCATCGCTGAGAGTCACAAACCTTTTGCCAATAACCGTACTGAAATCGGTTGAGCCGTTTTGGAGAGAAATGGAAACATTCGTTTGCACACACAAACAAACAAACAACCTCTCACCCTAAACGCATACACCTTCTCCGTTCCGTCGCGGGTAAAAATAATAAGAAAGAAGAAGAAAGCAAAATGGATTTATTAAAGGGATTGATATTACAATCTACTATTTTAACAATTTCAGTTTAAAAAGCAACCTTTTCCCTTGCAACTAGATAACTTAAGATTTGTGTTAGCACCAGTTTCAATAATTTATTAATTTTATGATATTAAATAAAAATAAATTTATTGTTACTTTTGAGTTATTAATAAATATTTTAAGAGCATGTGAAGATCGGCAGCACGGATGGGGCTGATATGGTGGAGCTACTCTAGAACCTTTTAGAAATAAGAGAAAAACTGTAAAATATTTGATTTTCAATATTTTCTTCTCAAAAAGTACGTGTTTCCGCATATTGAAGGTAGGTGGATTGGCAACAGCAATACCAAGCTAGACATCTAGCACCTTTGACGCTGCTCAACGCATCTGGTCTTGTTGTATCCAAATTTTTCCTTCAATGAGAGAGGTAGATTTTTACGGGCTGATGAAATTAATGTAATTTTTTTTTTGGTAAGATTGTAGAAATATTACGATTTGATGTTTGTGGTTTTATCTCTGTGTGAGGTGGGTTATGGAAAATTTTGTTGGCAACACAGCTGATATATGTCAATGTCAGTGTCAGTGTCACGTTAAAATAAACTTGATTTGATATTGATACAGCTGTTGAATGGATTTTTGCTCCCACCCGAACCCCTAATATACCGTTATTAAAAATTTATTTATTTCTACAACTTTGTATTAATAATTAATAAGATTTTCATAAAGTTTTTGTAACTGATCGTATCAAAAAGATGTCTCATCAGACTGGTATTGAAGGTACTTATGAAAAACTTTATCTATAATGTTTAACCGTTACTCTTTATTATTAGAATGAAGATAGGAATCGTTTATGAGAGTAGGTAAAAAAAACTTTGTTTGTAGTTGGTATTAGAATAAGAAATGATTAATTTTTTGTCTTATAGGTAAGGTCTTATAAATATAATTATCATGGAGATTTAAAAAAGATACCAGTTCGATGTTTCCGTAACTGTTTTCATTTTTATTTTTCTTTCAAACAGTTAAATAATTCAATATACCTTGATAATATTTTTATAAGTAATACACTATTATGTAAAGATGCAAACATTACAGCAAACTACTTAACAAAAAATAATATGTTAGTTACATAAATAAATAATATAGAATATATTGCATATTTATGGAATATATTATTTGTATATTTAAATTGTCATTGAAAAAATTTTTTCTGAATTTAGTGCTCTAATTAAAAAAAAACTTACTTTCTTGACATCTTGTAATAATCACAGGTATAGATGTGCCAACTCGGAAAAATTACGATTCTAGTTAACTCAAGTTGAAATTTACACAACTCGAGTTAGCAGTATGAAACAGTAAATGATTTGTTACAAATTACTTTTGTATTTCGTTTTTCTATCTAGCTCTTTGGTAGATTGGGATAAGCATAATTATCAAACTTATTATGTAGGATTGAAATAAAAAGGTATATTTAGTATGTATCACATACTCATGTATTTTTGGTTTTAATCTTAGTTATAGTTAGTACCTGTATTTAACAACAAAACTAGCTATATAGCTGTCTTCACAAAACAATATTAGTCTATCTTAAAGATGTAGGTACATAAGCTATAAATAGTTTAATTAACACAGTCAACATATTCTTAAATAAATTATCAAATCCAAAATATTTATTTTAAGCAAAGTGTTACATTTGTCATTAATTTAAAATATGTGTATCTTACAACTTAACCATCCTTTTCGGGTATTACAATAATAGACTGTGACTATAACTATATTGATCATAATTAATCAAAATATTAAAGAAATTAAATTACATAACTTAGCTATTATGAAATTCTAAACAACAAATTGTTTTGGTTGTAGCTAAATACTATTTGAAAAATAAATCGCACACACAACAAACAAATCACTCTCTTACTCTTTTGCTGGTTCATTTGATCATGTACAGTAGCCCAAACTCAAGTTAGAGAGATCCAAATCGAGTTAACTCAACTCAAGTTAGTAACTCGAGTTGAGCTATCACTAATCACAGAGTACATTTTTTATATAGGGAATGTAGTCATGATACAGATAGCTAGTGATTTATGTTCATTACTAATTTGTATTTATTCCCTATTCATTTTTTAAATTCATGTATAAACTTAAACACACTACTTTGATTTTTGTTATAATTACCTCACATTTGCAAATTTAAATTTTTTATTTACTTTTTTATGTACATCACTTTTAATTTTTTTTAATCTGATTTTTTTCTTTTATTATAAATTAAACACAAACAAACTTGAAATTCTATTTCCAGCTAATGCAGAATTAAAGAAATACTTCACTAAGTGCAGGGATGGCAAAATTCGTGTTCTGAAAGTCAGCATTGACAATGGTACATATAATATTTTTTAGCAAAATAAATAAAATTGTTTCTTTTTATGTTTATTTATGTTGCTTGAATTATGTTTTAATTTCAGAACAGCTGACACTATCCAAATATCAGCAGGTGAAAGGTTCCTGGGAGCATGACTTTGATAAATATGTACCCCCTTTAGTAGTAGATGATCTTCCTTGCTACATTTTATACAGGTAAGACTAAAAGAATTTTTCAATTTTTAATGTGGTAGAGCCACAATGTTATCCCTGCACCATGAATGGATGGACTCAACCGGGGAAAGACCATGCTCTCACATAATAAATGTAAGTGTAAAATAACAGTTTAACAATGCTGTTTTTCACATTGTGGGTGTAGAGAACCACAGACCTTTTTTGCTAGTAACAAGGCATTCCATCTTAGTCTTAAGGGGTGACAATGATTCTTAATCAAGGATAGATGTCCATGGACCGCAGCATCCACTTACCATGCGGTGAACTGTGTGCTTGTTTGTCACTCTTAATCTATAAAGTTTTTCTTCTCTGTCTACCTTCAAAGTGAACAGTGTGTTGGTGATTTTCTCCTACTCTAAATTTCGATTAAAAATCAATATTCACTGTGTATTTACATTCAAACTTCGCGAACATGTCTATTATTAAGTGTTATCAGTGTGTAAAAAGTGTAAATATGGAGGATGTAGTGCAATGTGATGGGTGTAAACGACACTTGTGTTTAACTTGTAGTGGACTTACTAGCAGTGAAATTAAAGTAATGGGCTTAAAAACCAAACATACAATGCTGTTCCTATGCATACCATGTCGCGAGGGGCTGTTTCAAGTACCGATTTTGATAAAAGCTGATGATGCATTGCGGGATGAAGTACAGTAGTTGAGATCGGAATTGGCATTGAAATCTGGCCTAACTGACGCCACTTCTACTTCAAAAACCGTCACCTCTGATGTTATAGCGGAAATACATGAGCGGGAGCGCCGAGCGTGCAATGTTTTGATCGCGGGCACCAAGGAATCTGAGGCGGAAGATGTGCAAATACGCCAGAAACATGATGAAAGTGTGATGAATAATATTATTAGTAATCTAAACGATGAAATATCCCCAAGTGATGTGCTTAAAATTATAAGGCTAGGGAAAAGAGAAACAGCCAAGACTTGTTTGCTCAAAGTAGTGTTTAAGTCTCGGTGGGTAGCTGTCAAAACATAAAAAAGTTGAGCAAACCGTTGCAAATCTACTGTGACCAAACACCAAAACAAAGGGAGGCCCTACAGGCTCTGCGTACCGAACTGCTACATAGGCAAGAGAAGGGTGAAACGGACATCACAATCAAATATGTCGAGGGAGAACCCAAAATTATAAAACTAATCACTAACAAGTCAAGGCACTTCAAAACATAAAAAAGTTGAGCAAACCGTTGCAAATCTACTGTGACCAAACACCAAAACAAAGGGAGGCCCTACAGGCTCTGCGTACCGAACTGCTACCTAAGCAAGAGAAGGGTGATACGGACATCACAATCAAATATGTCAAGGGAGAACCCAAAATTATAAAACTAATCACTAACAACCCGTACGCTACACTCACATTTTTATACACTAACATCTGGTCTCTGAATACTAAGTTTGACTTACTGCTTATTGAAATACAAACAAAAAACCCTACATTTGTTTTACTTACAGAGACTTGGCTCAAAAGCATAGACAAGGGAGCCAGCATTTCGATTCCAGGTTACACACTATACAGATTAGACAGGAAAATAACTCCTGGAGGAAAATCAAGAGGTGGTGGTGTAGCAGTTTATGTACGGAAATTCATTAATAATATACCAATAGTTGTAAAAAAAAAATAGTGCATACATGACTGAATTGACAGAAGCATTATATCTTGATATTCAACTAAAATCACATCACTTCTTGTTGCGGACAATGACAAGGAATGGAATATTAAGGACAAAATACTATATGAAAACTTAAGTACTGCATCTGCACACAACACCATAGTCATAGTTGGGGATTTTAACTACAGGGACATTGTTTGGCCTCTTTCTTATAATCAGAGCTTGTATGACTCAGCTCAGCTCTTTCAAAAATTCTACTTTGATTCAGCTCTATGTCAACTTGTCACCGAGCCAACCCGCTATCAATCCGGAAATATTCCCTCACTACTGGATTTGGTAATGACAAATGAGGAAGATCTTATCTCAGGCATTACCAACTCAGCTCCAATTAGTAAAAGTGACCACTGTGTAATTGAGATCCAAATTCAATATCTCATATCAAGCCCTTCAGCGCAAGGATTATTTAGTCGTGCTTTACATAAAATAAACTATGAGACTGTTAATGCAGAGCTCAAAAACACACTATGTAATCATGACTGGAGTAAACCAGTAGATGAATAATGGATGGCCCTGAAGGATGAAGTGGAAATTGTTTTAGACCGACATGCTCCTCTCAATATGGTTAGAAAAAAGAAAAATCTAAATAAACCCTGGATAAATGCTTCCATTGTTAAATTGACAAAACAGAAAAAGATTCTATGGGACTCATATGTAGCAGACAAGAAATGCGATGCAAAGTATAAGGTGTACAGAGACTGCAATAACAAGTGTGTTAGTGAAGCAAGAAGACTTAGAAGTCTTTACGAAGCTAAGATTGTCGAGAGTGGAAACAAACCCTTCTATGCTCATCTACGCAGTTGCATGGCTTCTAAAGTTGGTCTGCCGCCTGTAGTATGTGATGAACTTGGCAATCTTGTGGTTGTAGGGTCAAAATTGCTGAAGCATTTGCTTGTGAATTTGAGAAAACGTACTCATTGGAACCTGACCTTAATAATATCTATATCTATATCTCCTATACCAAGAGTTAGAAACTCCATAGATGACATCCATTTCACATCACAGGATGTGCTTATGGTTCTCAAGTCCCTAAATGTAAACGCTGCTACTGGGCCTGATAATGTCCCTGGAGTATTTCTCCAATCATGCTCAGAAACCATCACACCTGTCTTGGTCAATATTATGAATGAATCATATGCTTCAGGTGAGGTACCAAAAGACTGGAGACGTGCTATAGTAACACCTGTTTTTAAAAAGGGTGATAAATTAGATCCAGCTAACTATGGGCCAATCAGCTTAACTAGTATTTGCAAATGTATGGAGAAGATTATATTATGTAAAAAAGTAAAAAAGTACCTAGCAGATGAGAAAATTATTCCGGATAACTAGCATGGCTTTGTGGAACTGCGCTCGACTACAACTAACCTTCTTTCCTGCTACCACAGATGGGCTGAGGAATTTGATAAACATAATCCTTTGGATATATTCTACCTGGCCTTTGAACGGGCCTTTGACAAGGTACCACACAGATGTCTTTTGGTCAAATTGGAACATCTGAGTATCCGAGAAAACCTTCTGAAATGGATCAAAAATTATCTGAGTGGAAGAACCTTTCGAGTAAGAGTTGGAAATGTATATTCGCAACCTAAAGGCGTCTTCAGTGGAGTGCCACAAGGATCTCTACTCGCGCCTACCCTCTTTGGCATTTTTGTTGCTGATCTGAGTTCTATAATACACTCGGAAGGCTGTTTCTTTGCTGATGATGTGAAATACTTCGGAAATCCTCTATTGAACCAGGGAACCTTAAGAGAAGACTTAGAGCGAATACAGGAGTGGACAAAAAATTGGGTTATAAGACTTAATCTTTCTAAGTGCATAGTCTTGCATCTAGGTGGAAACAATCCCAGAGAAATGTATAAAATTGGAAATTCATCCGACCTCAAGTGGGCTGACCATATCCATAGTATTGTCAAAAAGGCAAACAGCATTTTGTATGCAATCAGACGAACATTTCAACATCTGACTCCAGATACATTGCTCAAGGTTTATAAAACATACGTCTGACCGCTGATAGAGTATGGATTTCAAATTTGGAACCCCTATTTTCTTAAGGATGTAGATTTGCTGGAGAGTGTACAAAGAAAAGCCACAAAAATTCCATTATGCCTTCGCAATATTATATTTATAACATCAGCAGTATCCACCGACCTAGACATCCTAACTATATGAGATTGGCCCACACCCGCTCATACACTAATGTGGGACATCACACACTAAAGAACAGAATTATAAATATATGGAACAAGTTGCCTCAAGACGTGGTAGATGCTCCCTCTGTGATTAGTTTTAAAAACAAACTGGACAAATGGTGTAAAGACAATCTAACCACCAACACAGATATAGGCATATCAGCTATAAGCTGCTCGCCTATTACCAGATAATAATAATAATAATTGTTGATCAAATTAATTACTGGTTTTTAGTTAGTTATAATTTTGAACCATAAACATATTTTCCATGGCAAATCGACTAACATTTGCATGGCACCATCCTCAGTGTCGCATCTACTACTTCATATGTTACACTTGCACAAATATCTGTATCTGGTAAAATGTCATAAAGCAAATTGTGAAATATATTCTACTCAAAAATGTTACTGTATTTAAGCAACTTTGTCAAATGTGTATTAATGATTTGAACAGCATGTGTATAGGTATGTATTTATGGCACAATAAAGCCTCATTGCATAAATAGTGTAGCATAACCTGTGTGTTCATACATCTAGTAAAATGACATTATGTTACATCCATATACTATTGTCAGCTACCATATATGCAACCATATGGTGATAGCGTAAGCATCATTTTATGCCATGGATAATGTAATATTTGACTATAGGAAAAGCCAGTATAGTTGTCAATATCAAAAACCTAAGATTACTTGTGTACTCTAGATCTAAAATTTCCAAACCATTGACAAGCAGCAGCTTTAAAAGTGTGAGACGTTACGGCCAAGAGTGATTAAGGCTAATGCTCCCTAAAATGGGGAGGCCCGTGTCCAACTGTAGACTTTTATGGGTTGATGAAAAAGAAGAAAAACAAAGCAACAAAGGGATATAATAAAGCCACAAAAGCATATGCTATATATTGATACCCATTATACACATATAGCTCAAGCAATAAGATCAGAGAGGCCTAGAATGTCATGACCAGTGACATGTGGACATCAAAACTATACCTCTGTTTTTATGCATATCATGAAAGATTAAACAAGTATGACCCAATCTCAAAGAATAATAATTCTTGATTGCTTCAAGAACAACAAATGTCTATATACAATTTAAAAATTCCAGGTTTGACTCAACAAATTCCGTCGGTCATGAATGGTTGCTCCTTAGCTGGTCTCCAGACAGTGCTCCAGTCAGGCAAAAGATGTTGTATGCATCAACGAAGGCCACGCTGAAACAAGAGTTTGGAACAGCTCATATAAAAAACGAAATGCATGCCACCAGCAAGGTAACTGCCACTAACCACCCTTAACACGAGCACTTGCATAAGAGTGGTTGAAGGGGGTATTAGTAATGTTAACAGCGCTGAATTCCTTTCCTTATTCTTTTTTTCTGCCGACTTCCGAAAAGGAGTATGTTTTTTTTATGTGTGTTACCCCATAACTTTTTACTGCGTGAACCGATTTGGATGATTCTTTTTTTATTTAAAAGCTGGTACTTCTCATGTGGTCCCATATGAATTTGATCAAGGTCAGACCAATAGTTTTTGAGTTATTCTTAATAACTAATATTGAAGTCGGTTGTACAAAATGTTTAATTTTAATTTATTTAATAATCGATTTTAATACTAGCACAAATCGTTTTCTGCAGACTTCAAAAAGGAAACGGTACTCAATTCGACTGTATGTTTTTTATGTGTTAACTTTTTACTGGGTGAATCGATTTCGATGATTCTTTTTTTATTTGAAAGCTGGTACTTCACATGTTGTCCCGTATGAATTTGACCAAGGTCAGACCAATCGTTTTTGAGTTTTTCTTAATAATTTATATTGAAGTCGGCTGTACAAAATTTTTAATTTTAAATTATTGTATTATTTAAAAGGTGCATGGAATAATATATCAACAGTGCTGTTCAATCCACACAATGGTGAACTAAAATCTAAAGTCTCATGCTGGAAAGCAGCAATACTAGTGCATGGGTTTCAGTTTTGCATTCACTAAACTACATGCCCAGCGCATGTAGTTATTAACACACAAATTAATAACAAAACTACCAGACTGTCGCGAGAAAGCATCTATGTGATGTATCAGCGCTACTATAATATAAGCACCTATATGATTGACAGTTGATAACTGATGACAGCTTACCAGAAGACATTATCAGCACAAAATACCTACTTACAGCAGAAGACGTAATTTTTTCTACTCATGCATCCACCATCATCATTACAGCCCTTCATCTTCATCTTCAACATAAGCCTCCCCTAAGGAATGCCTTGAAACACGGTCCTAAACCAACTGCATCCATCCACTTTCTGCATGTTTTACCAAGTTGTCACTCCATTAAGTGGGGGGTTGCCCTACACTTCACCTACCGGTACAAGCCTGCCACTCGAGAACCTTTTTTCCCCATTGGTTGTAGGTTCTTCGAGTTATATGGCCGGCCCATTGCCACTTCATCTTACTAATCTGTCGGGCTACGTCGGTCACTCCGGTTCGGTCGTGCATGCATACAGGCATGTTTTTATTACGGACATATATCCAGCAGCAAATGCCGCTTGTGAGCCACCTGTATAGTTTTTCGTCTATTTTAAACTGAGGAAAATCATGCATTGTGATGTTTGAGCCTTCTGTAATTATTAATTGTGTGCAAGTAGAGTGAGTATTGGCCACTTTTTTGAGAATTAAATATCAAAATATGAGAATGAAATAAATGTTTTATAAACTAACAATGATGATTATGACAAGCATATTAATAATGAAGTTTTATATTATTTACAACTTGATAAGACTTAAACATTTTAACACTGGTGATAAAACCTTATTTCTAAAAATACATTTATAAAGGAATGGCCCACTCAGTCTGGGATCTTACTTGCATACAAAGCAATAAGTATAGTTTAAAATTATATTTTAATATAATTGTAGGATGAAGTCTGCCTTAAAGGATACAAAGCACATTTGAGTGGTGTAAATGCACCAGCACCACTCACTGATAGGGAAGAAGCCTTGAAAGAACTCCAACACAATGAGCATAACCCTAATTATGGCACAGATTCAAGGTAAGTATTTAATGATTTAATTGAAATGGCAAATGCTATGATAATAATATTCATTACATTAAAACCTCAATAATGAATGAATTAATGAATAAGACCACATTGATATGGATGAATGACCATTTTATCAAAACAACAACATATAAATCTTAAAAATATCTTTGTTACTAATATTTTTTATAATAGCTACAAATGAACACCTGATGGTAAGTGGCTTTTGCAGCCTATGAACACCTGCAACCAACTTCAAACAAAGAACCTCTGTCACCTCTGAGGACTAAATACAAGACCTACCTGCAGTGATACTAAAACTCTGTAGAACGTCGTATTAAGTAATCAGAAAAACAAGATTGTTTGAATACAGTCCACCACTGGGAGAAGAGATGCTCCTGGTCTATTTTTTTTAAACTGGCTTTACGGCTCTGGGTTCTAGCCCTTCTGAGCCTGAAGTTCCTGGTCTAGCATCCCCTACACTCACAGAGTACTTTTTGTATACTAAAACACTGCACTTGACAATACAAGTCTGCTACTTATTGCCACTTTGCTTTACCAATTTATTGAAGAATTTTGCTTACTCTAGTGCTAATGTAGATACAGATTTTAACAGGAAAGAAACTTCAACTATGACCTTCTCAATACTTCACTAAGCAAGTTTTTATTAAAATACAATAACGAAAAAACTTACCGAGGTTGCAATGTTCTCAACCATCCCATTAATCCATTGAAATGCTAAAACAACTATCGATTGCAAGAACGAACGAAAGCACAGTTTTGATTTCACAAATATATCAATTTACAAATAACATACTTGGAAGAGCCACACTGTAGCTACATTACGGTTGTAGCACGATTGGGTCGGCTCGACTGGGGAAGGACCACGCTCTCACAGAATACCTGCGTAAAATAGTAGCTTAATGCTACTGTGTTTTGTATGGTGAGTGTATAGAACCGGAGACCCTTTTTACTGGAACGAGGCATTCCATCTTAAGTCCTCGTGATGGCAACGCATCTACATTTTGATTCTTAACGAGGATAAATGTAGATGTCTATGGGCCTTAGCATGTATTTACCATCAGGTTGTGTCTCCTCTGACTCGTTTGCCAACCTTATTCTATAAAAAAAAGTGTTGCCTAACCCATATTATTTACAGACAGTCAACAATGGGTGGAGTTGCATTCCCTATCACTGAAGCGGCGAAACAAGGCATTATTGATCTTCAACATGGTTCCTACAATTATTTACAATTTAAAATAGGTAAATAGATGATAATATTTAAACGAAATATTACCTAGGGTTTATACTCATCACTTACTTGCTGATATAGGACAAAGCGCATCATAGCAAAATAATTAAGCTAATCATCTATTGGCATCACTTGTGTCTAAATGAGTAAAATTCATATTTCAATTTAAAATTTATTTCATTCATTCGGAACAATGTCATTTCTTTTCTGTTGTAAATAATTGCACTAAAGGCATTTACTTTTTTTAATATAGTCAATAAATAAAATTATTACTAAATGTGTGTTGATGCAAGGAATGAATTTGTTTTTATTTTGTTTCTAGTGTTGATCAAGTTTCTAACTTTGTTCTTTAACTTCTAGAGGGTATTTACTTACATAATATTGAGAAATAATGAGATAGATTACAAATTACAAGACTAGACTATAGACTACAAATATTTAATGTAATGCTAACTGAAAATTGTATGCTGCAATCACATTGACCCAAACTTTGTAATGACTGTTTCATTCGGTATTAGAAATTTAAACTTATTCACTCCTTTCCAGATATAGATGAAGAAAAGATCCATTTGTCAAAAGCGGCTGTGATACAAACAACAGAGTTACCTAGACAAGTGCCAAATGATCAAGCAAGATACCATCTATTTATATTTAAGCATACACATGAGGGTGATTATTTAGACAGTGTTGGTAAGACAATATAAGAAATATTAATTTTATTTATAAGCTTAAGTGTTTGTAAAAAAAAATTGGTGACCATTTTTTCGCTTGCTATGTTTCTTGCTGCTTCTTCCCAAGACAGAGGTATTTTCCGAACCAGTGGTAAATAAAAATATTGATTTTCAATAGGTATTATGTAATAATCTATATTGAATAAAAAATATTCTGTTCTATTCTTTATCTTTAATATCCAATATTTTGGCTATGGAAGGTATGGGGGAGATCATCCATCGGGCAATGTGTTCAGCCCACGGATAGGCCAACGCCTCCTGTGTAAACTTCGTTTGTCGTTGATTCAGACTTCAGACTTCATTTTTTTACGCTTGTGGCATTTCCTACAGACAATAGTTTGTAAGAGGCACACTAAACCTTAATGTTAATTTGGAGTAGTCACGTATAATGAAGTCAACACTTCGTCCCCCGCGTGCTCTAATCCAAAGCCTCGAAAACTGTCAGCTCGAATTACAAAACCGTCAGTGCCTAGAAGATTGCAATACAGTTGACGATATGAATGACAAACTCTTGGAAACTGTCCATGCAGTCAGGGCTAAGTTCTGCAAGATCCGTCGCAGAAGAACCCAAAAACTCTGCGATCACTTTCTCAAGGCTGTTAGACAGGAAATGAAGCTGCAATGTTAAGCAAATATAACAGCATACAGGAACTGAACAGACAGCTCTCAGTGCATGTGACGAGACTTACTCAAGTTCTATACAGATCGTAATGAAGAAGCGGTTGAGTGGAACCAAGGTTCTAATCTTTACCAGAGATGTGTCTGCCGGAAAGCGCCAACTGTCGAAGCTGAAGATTGCATATGGTAGCATCGTTTCGTACGCCAATTCGTGGATTTAGTGTCACATACATACCCTTCGCAAAATTGTACAGAAGACCGAAGAGTATAATCAGCCAATTTGTCGTGCGTATGAGTAAGCCTTTGATTTCGTCGAAATTTGGGCGGTGCGACGGTCCTTGCAACGGTGCCAAATTGACTATCGAAATACCGAAGTGATGAAGTGTTTAAACAGTAGAGCTACGATGACTATCCGAGTACAAAACCAGAGTATGAAACCTACCCAACTGCAGAGAATTATAAGACAGGGTGACGTTATATCAACGAAACTCTTCACTGCTGTATTGGAAGACGTTTGCAAGCTGCTGTATTAACATCAATCGCGAGTACATCACTCACCTTCGATTATACCTGACGATATAGTCCTTACGGCAGAATCGCTGGAGGACCTAAACACTATGCTCAAAAATATGAATAGTATCTCCCAACGGATAAACAAAGGTCATTTTATGTAAAGTCTGTATCACACATATGCCTGTAGTTGTTGTGAGCTCTAAACACGAAGTTGTCGACGAGTATGTTTACCTAGAGAATATAGTCTGACTAGGTAATTTCAACTTCGACTGAATGTTCAATCGATGGATACAATTCTGCCGGGCTGTGTTCGGAAAATACAACACATCTTCTCGTCAGGTATACCTCAAAACAGGAAAACAAGATTATACAACCAGTGTGTGTTGTCAATGATGACATATGGATCTGAGACCTGGTCCTTTTCACTGCTGGTTGTATGAGGAAGCTCACGGTGCTCAGCGAGCTATCGAGAGAGCTATGCTATTTCCCTATATGATAGACTTAGAAATGAGGACATCTGCAGTAGAACCAGCGTAACTGACATAGCCCAACGGATTAGTAAGCTCGAGTGGTAATGGGTAAGCCATATAGAAAACCATAAAGAATCCATTGTTCCGTTTAATCAACATCATAATTACAATTTAACCTCTTGTTTGAGTGTATACTGGATATAAAATACTCGGACCTGACATGGCTCCGTGGCGCAGTGGTTTAACAATGAGTTGCAGACCTTGGGCCGTGGATCCTGCACGGAACAAGTATTTGTATGGCCTACAGATAATCGTTCCACGTCTGGATGTTTGTCCTTTTTTTACAAGGAAAGCCACAGATGCGTTGTCTATAATTATAACCTATAATTATACTTGCTCTTTTACTCTTAAAACTGAAGTACAACAGTTGTTTCACTGTTGCTTGGCAACATAAATACTTAGTATATTAATATCTTGGCAGAGCATGACAATTTTGATAAACCCTCGTTACAATGGAATATCGTTCAGTCGTGGGCTTTTACTAGACGATTTTTATTCAGTTGCAGTATTATGTTATCATGCTCATGCTGCTGTCTATCTCCTATTTTAGTTTCCCTCTATAGCCTCATACGACGCCCACGGTATGATATGAGGATTCCCTTACGCCGCTACTACACGCCAGAGGATATATTTATTCATCTTATTTGCAAAAAACGGAAAATGTTGTGTAATTTCCAATTATCTACAGAATATTCTTGAAAGTCGATCTTTTTCTATTGCAATAGGATGAAGTTATTCTGTAAAGAAAAAAGTATACTCATGCGTAAAATCCTTTTTTCAGTGTTCATTTACTCCATGCCTGGATACAGTTGCAGTATAAAAGAAAGAATGTTATATTCAAGTTGCATTGGAACCTTCTTAGAAATAATAGAAAAGTTGGGTGTTGTAATTGCTAAGAGAGTAAGTTTATTGATCCATTAATTATTTTAAAATTATATTTTTTTTTTATTAATACAAACATTTCAGGTTTTATTTTCATACACATATGTATACTAAACTAAAAGTGGAGATTACGAATTTCCACTTGACACGATCCTGACACATCTTCTTGCGCTTCTTTCAAATCCATATGTTTGCTCATACATGCTCGTCCATTGACGGATATATTGATATACTGAAGATGGTTCCTTAATTTGACCCATCTTCAATATATCGCCAATTGGCCGAAAAGTTACTGTCTCGGGCGTCCCTTAAATCTTTCCAAGGCCTTCGATGGTGTTCACCAAGAGACATTATTCAGGAAGCTACAGCATTATGGTGTAAAGAAAGCAGTGTTAAATTTATTAATTCATATTCTCAAGTAATAAAACGCAGAAAATTATTGCAAAGGTAAAAGCTCTTCCCGTTCTCCTGTATTTATGGGCATTCCCCAGGGCTCATTTCTCGGCCCATTACTGTTTTTGTCCATATTAACGACTTTCCGTGCCTTGTACGTGATAACCATGACAATTGACATTTAAGACATCCGCTTATATTTGATACTGATACACTTACTTATTTACACAATACAATGAAATCAAACGGCAAATCGTGGACAAACAGACGATTCGTGTTAGTTACGTAATCGCACTACAGCATATTTTACGTCTCAATGATCGATAACCTGTCTGTCAATGTTGGACTTACTAAGTCGGAAAAATTATATGATACTTATTCAACAACTTCGAGCATAGTGTTTCCAGTAACTATTGATATGGGCATGAGACTATAGACTTCTTCACCTTGCCCATGCTAACCTTAAGATCAACCTGTTGGTTAACATTATCAGGTCTTTAAGCATAGCGCTTAGTCTTTCAGAGATTCTGCCATAACGATTATATCGTCGGCAAATTAAGAACTATTTTAGTATTCGCCATTAATGAAATCTCTGCATAATATGAGCCAGTTCTTGCACTTTGTAGTCAGATCCGCTATTTCTAATTTTCAACGCTCTCAGCTCATCCCCTTACATTTACCATATGTTTACAATAATGTAGTTGAATATTTTTTTTAAATATATGACGTGTTATTTTACTTTTCCTAATTGTGATATTCTACTAAAATATGCATAAAGGACTTATGAATTTCGTTTCAGTTGGAAATCGATGACGGGAAAGAGTTGACCGAAGAATTTTTATACGACGAAATACATCCGAAAAGAAACCTTCACAGACCAGCTTTTGCGAAACCGAAAGGTCCGCCGAACCGGGGAGCAAAAAGGATTACAAAATCGCAAACCACTCAATAGCTTGATAGCCAATATGGAGTTACATAAGCGAGCTTAAGCAAAATAGTATTATCTTCCATACATACATAAATACAATTCTGATACAACGTAATTATTGCGCTTGTAAAAACAGGAGTTTTTTTTTTTCAAATATTTAAATTATAAAAATTTGTTTATTTTTTATTTATATAATGCTTTGATTCAATCAACTATTGATAGCATTTAAAAATAAGTTATTTCAATGTTTTATAGTTACTCTCTATATTTGTTGTTTAAACGTTAGGAAAGTTCTTTAAACAATATCAAAAAAAGATGGCGTTCTTTTTAAACTCTTGTGATGTGAAAATAATTAGATTTTAGAATTTATGCGAAAGAAATCAGAAAAATACAATAAAAAAATTGTTTTAGTCAGTAAGTATATTTTTTATATCTTAAAATCATTTTATATCAATTCGTAATCTATACTTTTAACACCTATATCGAATGACATGTCGTTGATGTTACTTGATTTTTATATACGGTTGTTTAATTATTAACAACACTATAATATAATGAGATTTGTTAATACAAAAATTGAAGCTAAAAAAAACTTACTTAAAGACATCGATATATGTACTACGCACTAGATTTTGCATTCCGAACATTGACTATGTTCAACTGAACTGTACTGCAATCCGTACACTAAACTAAATATTGCGTAAATTGAAGATTTGTGAATTCCACGAGATAATTATTATTACATTTTATTTAGAAATGTGTTTGTTTAGATTAAAATAAGAGTATTTTATATTAAATTCTTATATTTATTTTATATTAATACCTTATTTTATATTAAATTAGTCTGCGCATGCGCGACTCTACTATCTCCCGCGCATGCGCGAAGACAGAGTAGGGCACAATTTTTTTTGAAATAGCTTCTCTAGTACTTAGTACATATAACTCAATGCTTAAAGATGACTAAATTTGCGTTTAATTTCGATACTTTCAGTTATAATAAATAATTATTAATCTGTAGTTTTTAAAAAGTGATTTTGCAATATTGAGAGTAATGTAAAAAAATATATTTTTAATAAAAAAAAACAATACGAAATAAAATATTAAATTGTAATAAATAATGAGAATGAAGAAAAATTACATTGTAATGCCGAATGAAACTGGCATTTTTCATTATAAATGATCTCAGCATCGGACTGCGGCTGCTGCCATTATAGTATCCATTCAAAAAAAACATCTTATTGGCTATAAAAAGGTTAGCAATAATTTCATTACATTCATTACAATGATTTAGGTTATTATGTTGTTATACAGCTGAAAATCAGTGAATAATAATTATTTTGTTTTATTTTTTTATTTTAAAAGATAAAAAACAAGGTCACTTGATAAAAACAATATTGGTGGGTTGTGCTAAATCATGTAATGAATAGATTTGTCGATCTGATTGTTTTCTAAATACATAATTATGTCGTCTATATGAAGAAAATACCTATGATTCAAATGAGAACCATGCTCATGTGATTTATTTAAAAATTGTATGCATAGTCTAAAATATTAATATGTATATTATTTCTAAACCATTTTGTTGTCATCAAATTTTACATAATATATAGGTATGGTATTGGTAAACCGTCGAAGTTTTAATGCAATATAATTTAAGTCCTAGTCAAAAACATGTTTTGATTTATTATTTTGGATCTATCGTGTAGAAACATACTCAACTCAATTATTTTTAGGTCATATACAATATATTTAAGTCAACATTAACATGAATTTCCCTAATTTCTTTATCATCCCGTAACAGTTCGTGCTGGAACTCGTCCACCCCATCATAGGAAGCATTTGCCTTAATTACCTGGCTCCACCGAACACATGGATTAACGACTGCAGTACCAGATGTATCTCGCCTTTTATGGTACTCCCTGTCGCCAATCTTGAAATTAAATTCCTCTAATAATAACCCAAGTAAGTACGGAATTTTAACATTTTCATAAAATAAATATAATGCCTCGACTTGACGGGGGCACTGCTGTGCCCCCAGATAAACTTAGAAATTCGCAATAACATTTTTAAAAAAAACCTTATCTCCCACTTGCTGCAGTACTACATACAAAAACTAAAGTCGTATTCACAACCTTCTCCTTTCTTGATCGACTAGTAAAATATACAAGTAATAAACTTTTTTGTTCAAAAGAGTACCACATAACCGTAGACCCACTATTGCCATTTGTTTCTTTTTATATATAAAAATATTCTACACAAATAACAAACTGGAAAACAAAATTTCATAATAAATAATAATAAAAATATACAGTTGTTGATAAAGAGATTTTTGTTACTTAAAAATAATCAGATATTTAAAAAAAATCTTCAGTGCATGAAACAAAAATACCACTACATTGACTGAAGGAAATGGACAAATTACAAAATACATATAACCTTGTACAATCTTCAGTCAATAGCGTAGCATAATATGTATGTATACTGAAATTCATTAGGTTGAAATTATAATAATTTCAGATCTCTATTTTGTAATATGCTCAAGGAACAGCTAAATCCACCCTGCTTTTTATGTTCCCTTTTATCTTGCCAATAAGGTAATACATAATGTAATTATTTAGATTGTGTTCTGTTGTGTAATTTGTGATTGTCATGTTTTGTCATTTACTACTCTGTTATATTGTATTGTCTCATTCAAAATTACTGCACAACAATCATTTCATAGATTATTCTATTTTTATACATACGTAAGGATAAGATTATAATTATTGTCATCTATATTATTATAACATTTTTATTGTGTCAATAAAGTGCTTTCAATAAAAATATTCAAAGGTTATTAACTGTTGTTACTTTTTATTATTTTTACTGTCACAACAATGACAATAACTGCTTTAATACAAACATTTTAAACAAACTCTAACACGCTTATTACAAAGCTTTTCACACGAACAACGAAAGATAGACAGAAAACTACGTACATTTCAAGTGACACCGAAACCATGCTCAACTTATTGCGCCAGAACGAGCACCCACGCACACATATACATCTTAAATCATTTGCAACCATCTCATATGGGGGAAAGTTGAAAGTGTCCAACTGTATACTGAAAAGAGAGGTTCCAAAACCTACCACAATAGCTCTGGCGTTTGAAAAACTACGATATGAATATAGCTGTTGTAGACGGAGTGAAGTCAGCTGAATTCAAATATTTAAAAATTTTCATGACTAGAGTAGTTAGTAAAATGCCAGTATTCAAAACCTCAACTATTTACGTAGTACAATACCAAGCGGATTGGTCGGTCCTTATTTATTTCTCCATCTTAGTCTAAATACTTTTGGCGCTTTTTTTTTTTAATTTATCCTATGCTACCATAGCGCCACCCTTATTGGACGCGGTTTTAGGGACACTTATTCTATACAAAGATAGTCCTCCTTCTACTCTTTAATCCATGACCACAGCCAAAAATCGATGAGCTCAGCTGAAATAACATAATTAAATTTTGATATTCCTTTATTCCTAAAATATTACAATAATTGAAATTCATGTTTATTGTTCAAAGTAATGTTGGGTGGTTTATTTCGACCATACATTATGTAAAAAATTTTGTTCACAATTTACTCACCTCGAAGAAATTACTCTTAACCGACATAATCGAACGGTTATTTACATGTCAAAGTTATAGACCTCACCAAAGAGTATAGTAATAAGTAATCTTTAGAAGGAACCACTTAGAACAATAGATAAGAGTGTTCAGAACTTAGAGGAAATATAAGCAAAGTATAGAGCGCGCGTATCGCTCAATGCCCATTATGCCAAGCGTAACCAAATGTTCTATAAATACTGATACATAGTTTATAGTGGTTGAATGGTGATGCGCCAAGACTGAAGCCTATGCGTTATTTTATTAGAAATAAAAGAAATATTTGGAGCCCAATTAAGCTTATCATCAACTATTATACCGAGATATCTAATTTTGTCAGCTTTACTTAGAATGGGGCACTCACATTGTCGTGAAGCGACAATTAAATACAAAAGAATCTAACCTAGTAACAGCAAAACAACAAAAATAGAACAAAAACAAATAATATATTTAAGATTTAAAAGATATTTACAATTTTATATAACAAAATAGAGTATGAAGATGAGGATGGATGTCGTGATTTACAAATTATTAAAAAAAAAAGGTAATAAAAAAAGAGATTGTCGAAGCTGAGCCCGAAGATCCAAGGTGTACAGCAAGTGCTCTCAGCGCCTGGAACGAGCACGCACGGCGTAGGTGAGAAGGCGTGGGCGTCTCTAGGCGACGACCTCAGGTGAATGCGGTGGTTGCAAGATCCGGCGATTTCAGACAGGACAGAGGCCTGCAGGATCCGGTGACTTCAGGCGGGACAGAGGTTTGCAGGATCCGGCGACTTCAGGCAGTGCAGAGACTTGTAGGATCCCGGCGACTTCAGGCAGAGCAAAGGCTTGTAGGATCCGGCGACTTCAGGCAGAGCAGAGGTTTGTAGGATCCGGCGACTTCAGGCAGAGCAGAGGTTTGCAGGGTCCAGCGGCTTCAGGCAGGGCAGAGGCTTGCAGGATCCCGGGGCAGTGCGGCCCCGGGATAAGGCCTTTAGGAGATGCTTCGAATTCGAGAACTGAAGCGAGACTGAATTTCTTCACCGATTGTTCGGCTTTTATACCTTTCTAGAGAGAACGGAAAAATTATTTAAATTAAACGCAAATTTTTTGTAAATGGCCAAGAGGAAAGAGTATTTATGTGGAATTATCGCAATAGAAACAACAGACCGGTAGCGAATTTGAATATAATTGTCATGACAACCAAATAAACAACGAAGTCAAAACCTGTCAAATTTTGGTTTTAGGCTCGTAATAGAAAAACGGCAAGATTTAAGTGAAAAATGAGATATTATTGATATAGAAACTGCGCGCACAAAGTCCGAAATTGCAGAGTTACGGAAAACTAAATAAAAGATCGAAAAAAGGTAGACTTCATTGACACCAATTTAAAAGTGCTGATAA